ACTAAATTTGCACGAGGCAGCCATGGAGACGGAGGGTACGGCGGTGTTGGGAGGAGCGGTGGAGCAGAGCCTTGTTGATTAGTCAAGGCTTGTAGTTGATAGCAGCGTTTAGCGGAATGGCCTTGAACACCACATATCTGACATTTCCCGAGATACGGCTTGGACTGTCGGGAATCATTGCCACGAGGATTGTATGAAGGTCTCCATTGTTGAATCTGCTGGTTGCTTGGTGGTTTCGGAGTAGAGCGATTGTTGCGGTTGTTGGTGACATAATTGGCTGTGATCGGAAGAGAGGAGGGAGGAGCTGCTGTCATGAGGTTAGCTTCGTGATTAAGAAGCTTCTCATGTAGTTCCGTGAGGCTTGGAGGAACATCACGGCCTTCCATCTGATTCACTATCGACTTGTAGTCCTCGGAGAGCCCATCGAGAATGTACTCAATCTGATCCTCATGATCAATGACTTTGCCGAGAAGAGCCAATTGATCAAACCGAGTAGTGAGACCTTGAAAGTATTCGTCGATGGTTCGTGTACCTTTTGTCCATTGCTTGACTTGGTGTTTGAGTTGCTTGATGTGACCACGGCTAGGTTTGGCGTAGGTTTGAGCAAGAGTGAGCCACACATCGGCAGAAGTGAGAGCACGGGACACAAGGGGCTGAACAGAGGCTGAGAGTGCGCCGATGAGGCCTGAATAGACCAAGCGGTCTTGTCTCTTCCATAGATCGAAGGCAGGATTTGGTGTGTTAACATCGTTAACAACCAAGATCGGCTCCGGAACGGCGGCGGATGGGTCAAGGAATTTTGCAAGAGAGTAACCATCAAAGATGGCATGAACTTGTCTGCTCCACATGAGATAGTTTGTGGCATTGAGTTTGATAACATTGTTCATGTTAACATTCACGAGAGTGGTGGGGGTGACGGCTACTGTTTCGGAGTTGTTGTTGTTGTTGTTCTCTGCCATTGACGAGAGGAAGGAGAGAACAGAGAGGTATTAAAAAAAAAAGAATGAGAACAGAGAGATTTTAAAGAGAAGAAGAGGGAGGCTCTGATACCATATAAGAATGTTGAATTGGATGATTGTATTAGTGATGAGATTACAAGTATATATACAAGACATTGAGTCTAGGGTAGCCCTAATCCCACTTAATTACAGAATAAGAGATTGATATGAGATTGATATAGTCAATATACGATTGACAAAATTGGCTCCTCAATTATCTCCGTGATAGTTAAACACATGAATTCGGTTCCATTGTCAGTACGAAATGCTTTGACTTGGTTTCCGAATTGACGCTCAGACATAGCACAAAAATTCTTAATGAGCTGCGAGACTTCAGTTTTAGAAGTCATGAGATACGTCCAAACGGAACAAGAATATGGACCCCATACATCATCATGAATTAGAGAAAAACATTCCATTGTTTTATTATTGCTAATAGGAAAAACCTCACGAGTTTGTTTTGAACGAAAACAAGTATCACAACTGTCAATCTTGTCAAAACCTTGTGAAGAACGATGACATTCCGGTAAAGAAAGCAAAACACTAGTAGAAGGGTGTCCTAGACGACGATGCCACAAATCTTCAGAGATCGCAAAATCCGACGAAGCTTTATGTGCACGAGGTGCCAAGACACCGGTAAAATAATATACTCCCTCACGTTCTTCCCCCACCCCAATCAAAGTCCTCGAAAAACGGTCCTGTAAGAAACATAATGTGTCAGTAAAGATTGCAATTGATCTTGTCTGTTTAAGTAATTTAGAGACAGAGATCAAAGTGCAATCAAAATCGGGAACAAACAACACATCGTGAACTTTATAAGAGTCATGCAAGAGAAGTGTGCCACATTTCGTAGCCTGCGAGGCTTTGCCATCGGGTTTGGTAACCGGAGAAGGAGTGATATCAAAAACATCAACCAAAATCGAACAATCTCCTGTCATATGATGGGAAGCACCAGTATCAATAACCACATCAGTAAGACAAGTGTTACCCGACAAGCGTTCAGAGGAGCTGCTGGGACGTTGAGCTTGAAGGAGAGAGATGAGCTGAGCTATTTGATCATTGCCATCGCCGGAGACGGTGGGAGTGGATGCTTGAGCGTTGTTAGCACGACCACGACCTCGAGTAGTGGGAGCAGAAGAACGATTACCTCCACGACCAGAGCTGCTTCCACGACCATTGGAGCCGCGACCACGAGTAGAAGGCTGGTTTTCTTGGGGATTTTGCTCTAATCGCCTCTGTTTTGACAACGTCCTTAGTACGGGAAGCGTTGAGATTCTGTTCTTTACGAACCACTCGGGAGTACACTTGATAGAGATCGGGTAGAACCGTAGAGGTTCTATATCAGTAATAGAAGATCGGATGGAGCTGAAACGACTGTCTAAACCGAGAAGAAACTTGTGAACTCGATCATCTTCACGTTCTTTCTCGATATCACTGGCAGCTTCACACTTACACTCGCGTCCGGACTTGTAGTTCTGTAATTCTTCCCATAGTTTAATCAAACGCCCATAGTATGCAAGAACTGGTTGTCCATCTTGAGTACATGCAGCAATTTCATCTTTTAACAGTGTCTTACGGACACCGTTAGCGACGACGAAGATTCTCCCTCTGAAACAAAACCAACCGTAGAGAGAATTGTTGGATCGATAGATGTGCGGATCCATCCAACAATCATAGAATTTATGGCAATCCACAAACTTAATTCGGGATCAGCGGCCGGCTTTGGGATGGATCCATCGATGAAGCCAAGTTTTTGTTTGGCTCTAAGAGAGTTTTGTAGTTCTTCAGACCATTCAGCATAGTTGTTTTCTTTTAAAACAACAGAAGAGATCAAAGCACCAGGGTTGTCTGATGCGTTGATATGATATGCAGTGTTTGAGGACGTGTTAGATGAAGACGTACTCGTTACCAAGGCAGATTCTGAAGACATCGTATAATAGAGAACAGAAGTAGAAGAAGAAACAGAGCAACGAAGGCTGCGGTGAAAAAGAAATTTAGGTCAAAGGAGCTTTTTTTCCTCTGATACCATGAAATAGAATGTAAAAGTGTGTGTATTCCAATAATCAAAGAGAGTATTTATACAAGGAGAGTTGATCATAGAAGATAAGAACGTATCTAGTAAATCTAGGATATACATATATCGTATCTAGTCTAATATCATCTTTAGGCACCCATGACTTTGTTCTTTCTCATTGAGATGATACTTTATGAGTGACTAGAGCCCGAACCATTCTCTTGTAAAGAAAATGAATCATGAGAAAGATTGATGTTTAGATGAGGAAGAGTAATAGAAGGAGGAATGTTTCTAGAGATTGAATCAAGCGGGTTCCCAGCAACAAAATGGTAGACACACGAGGACAAACGGGAATGATCAGATTCCCATCGAAGGATGAGTTATTAATGATATTGTTGCTACCTCCTATGGACTTAGATGGACCAAGAGTAAGATCAAGATTAATATCATCAGTTGATAAAGCATGTGAGCTATAGTTGTTCATGTTCATGTTCATATCTGTGGGTCCTCTAGGGACTCCAACATTAAGCAATGGGTTAACGTTGCTGCTGCTGCTGCTACCTTCTATGGACTTCAATGGACCAAGAGAGAGTCCAAGGTGATTATCATTTGATAAAACATCTTGTGAAGACCCACCAAAGAGCAAGTTAGACTTATCTTTGTTCAAAAGCCTTGACTCGATCTGTTGCCTCTCCATTTCTCGGTCCTCCTTGTGGGTGGTTCCGTGACCGCCAAGGGCATGATGGGTTGGGAACGCTCTCTTGCACAAGTAACAGATGTAGATCTTATTATAATACTGGGGCGGATTGTTCACTGTCTCCTTCTCCTCCAGGACCTCCATGACCACAACGGAACTTTTGAGTTTTTGATCATGATTGTGTGTGGAGGAGCTTGATGAAGACATAGATTGGTTCTCCATTACAATTTGTTTTGTAAAACTTAATTTGCTGAGAGTTAGAAGTTATGTCTTATCTCTTTTTTGTTAGATTTACGCTATTTATTGCGTAAACTATTAATTATTGTGTTTCACTAATTTAAGGTATAAAATCTCCAAGGGCAAAAACAAATTAATTGAAACCATAGAGTTTAGTCTTTCTCTTCTCTAAAGTGCTATTTCACGTACGTGTCAAAATACACCAATTTAAGTTATAGTTCAATAAAAATTTAAATATCTTATAATTGCACGAGTGTTTGAATATACAAATTTTTTAAAATTATGGTTGTTTCTCTAACCATGTTGATTTTACTCATTTTGTCTTCCAAAATAATAGTTTTGTGTGTGATACATGTACCAGTGGGCTTTGTATAATCTGAAATTTATCTACTCATTTCAAAATGACTGAAGCAGTCAGAGAGTCTCCCAAGCTAAGGGTTGAGTCACTCAATATACAAAGTTTAAACACTCAAAAATAACAAAAACAATTGGTGGAGGATTCAAACTAAAAATATAACATTGTGAAATAATACAGTTCATATCCCCTGATCTCAAGTAACTTACTCGAAAGCAACAAAACGATTTTGAAAGGGATGTTTTGTAACAAACACGTCATTTATTTTCTATTGATGAGCTTCTAACTTTTATATAATGAATGCTCTTGTTTAAGTTACAAAATGCTCTCGTTACAACAATATATTATGAATGCAAGCTTCTTCTCTCATATATCTCAAAGTAAAACAATCAACAAAACTCAAAATTGTTCTTCTTCTTAAACCACAAAACCATCGTCCATCAAACAATCGAAAACAGATCAAGTATTGTAAGTTCGGTTTCAAATATTATGCGAGCATGTACCATAAAATTTCGAAACAATCAACAGAACAGTTAATCGTTTTTCCAAAAAAAAATTCGCACATCTATTTTAAAATGTTTCAAAATAATATATGTTTAATATTTTATAATTTGCAATAGTTATTATTAAGTTGTATGAAATAAATAATTTTAAATTTTTTTTCAAAGAACCTTGTAAGAGAAACTACCATTGGAGTATTAAAAACTAAAAAAAAACAAAATTAAAAGTTCTCTTGTAACTATTTTTAAGAATTAATCATAAAAAAAATGGAGAGAGTCCATTGGATCCATTGGAGATGCTCTTAGATCTCAATGCGTTGTGAAGTCGTTCCTCCGGATTATTTTTGTTGAATCAGATTTGTGTTAGTTAGAAACGTGTTGATTTGTTTGAAGGTAAGGTGCCAGAATACTCAATGTGGCTTCTTTATGATCTTGCATCAGTTTTTCCTTTTTAGTTATGCTCTGGATTATTTTTTACAATGCATGTGCCATTGTTATGTGAGGGACATGATGAAACAGAGACATCAAAATAATGGGGATTTTCTGATATTTCTTGAAAGAATGATGCTTGTGAAGGATGTTGAGTGGTTACTAGATATGCTATAGAGAGAGACACACAAAGGTAGTAGAAAAGAACCTGTTGAAACCCAAAAGCAGACTCATGATGTAACTAAGCAAATAGAGATTTAGGATGGAACTAAGCAAAGGGTTCCGTTCCAAGATAAAACTAGTGACCATTACCAATGATGACCATGGTAATAATATAGGAGAAGAAAAGAAAAGACTCAGTTCCAAACTACGGTACTAATCTAGTTTTTGGGGTGGCATAAGGTAATTGCTTTTGAATGATGTAGGCATCACATCAGTAATGATGGTGGAATCATCCAGATGGACAAAGCCGCCTTCGTCACAGTCAAAGAGTGTGACAGTGTTAGGGCACAGTCCGGGAAAAGAGCTAGCAGGGACACAAAAAGGTTCAGACTTTGAAAGGAAAATGCAGAGATCTCCAATATCTTGAGTGTAAACCGCGTTTCCTTGTTCGTCAAGCTTGAACACCATTAAAGCTTGTGTTTTCATTTGCGCAATACCCTTGATGATCTTGCCAGAAGACTTCTTGTACCACTTAACCAAGAAAGTTTCACCAGCTGGTGACTCAACCAAGTGCTCGCTCTTGCAGCATGAATCCAGTAGCTTCTGTTTGGTCTTTGTCAGCTTGGGAAGGTTTTGAAACTGCAAACTCTGCAAATTATGCTTGTGTGTGCGGAGATCCCATGTTCCAATGAGGTGTCCTCCAGATCCGGGAATGCAAAACATGTTATCTTTCTTGGAGTACATGACACGAGATGAGTAGAAACAAGGGTTTTCGATTCTGATGTTGATCCACTCGGAGTTACTTTGAGCCGGTCTGCAAAAGCTGAGCTGAGGTCCCAAAAACTTGACAGCCACAACACAGTCTTCATCCTCAGGAGAAGATGCGGACAATGACACATTGGTAACGATTTGAGTTTGGCAATGAGGGAGAGTTACAAGAGGAGGCAGGGGAATGCGTTTCGGGTTTGTATCCGATGCAACCGGGTTTAGATCGTCTTGGAGACGCAGTAGTCCGTCGTCCTGACTCAAAGTAGCTATCCAGCCATGGGATGAACCGATGGTTACAAGTTCATTATCATACAACAACGCCATAGGCACCTTCTTATCCAAAGAAGTGCAGTCATCTTCATAAGGATTCAAAATCACGAGTTTTCCCTCTTTCGCAAGTCTTCCACAACGTTTAGCGCTGACGATGAAACAAGGAGGAGTTTGCAGCAAAGAAGATGATAAGCCATCATTAGAGAGAAGAGGAGATGATCTCACCAACACAGGTTTCCTCCGAAAGCATAGTAGCTTCAAGGGTTGGTTGAGAAGCAGCGCCATTGATAAGAAGTGTTTTAGGGGAAAGCGAGGCTGCAAGAGAATCAAATAAGAAAGAGTAAACAAAACAAAACCCTAGTTGATGAGATGTTCACATAAATAACCACCAAGATCCGATACAATCTTAATTGGATATCATTTTAATTAACCACGTTCAAACCTTATTATATGAAGTTTGTTTCTTCGAATAGTATTTTCCATATGCGAGTAAGTTCAATACTATTTTATATGAAGCTTATATATGTTGTTTAACGTGTAAAAAAGGTATTTTGGTTATTGTGTAAATTAACCTCATTAGATGAATTTGTTTATTAAATACTAGACGAGCTAAAGACTATGGATTTGTGACCTTGTAATTAAGTTTCTTTTGTATTAATTCTCAAGCTGCAATTAAAAAAAAAAAAAAAAAATCTCAAGCTGTTAGTGTTTATGTGTCCTTTAGCTGATGTTTTTAGTGCAGGAGACTCTTGAATTTGTATGAATTTTCTGATTACTTGTCAAAAATGCTTTGGAACTACAGATTGATTTCAACAAGTTAATCGGCATGACAATTATCTAAACAAAGCTTATAGAGTTGAGATTATTGTCAAGAAAAATAACATGTTAAAATATATGGAAACAGCGAAAAACATTAAAGATTCGAAATACTTTTAAATATCTGATTATGATTCATGGTACCCCAAATTTTCTTGTTTCAAGTTGTTCTTATTCCCTCTAAAAGAGAAACTTCATTCGTCACACACTATTCACGTACTTGATTTAATTATAAATACTTATTTACATAACAATACATACTCCAGAATCAATATCCTCAAATTTTAGAACAACGTACAATGTGAGATGTACATGATTGAGATAAAGCTTGAAGCTAAGTCTGATTAAGAAGAAAGTTTGCAAAATGTGGGGAAGTCTCTATACGTGTCAGAGGGTTTGAGATCTGAGAATACTTGAAAGACACTGAAGCAGTCAGAGAGTCTCCCAAGCTAAGGGTTGAGTCACTCAATATACAAAGTTTAAACACTCAAAAATAACAAAAACAATTGGTGGAGGATTCAAACTAAAAATATAACATTGTGAAATAATACAGTTCATATCCCCTGATCTCAAGTAACTTACTCGAAAGCAACAAAACGATTTTGAAAGGCACACACATATGAATGATTGCTGCTTAAACACAAGTGCATGAAAGAGTACTGATGAGATATGCATATCAATCTCACAAAGAATTTATTATTAAAAAAAAACATATTAATCTGATCTTTGAATAATTGAAACAAGAAAGAAAATTCCAAACTATGTAACGTGCTAGTTGTTCATATTTGGAGGTGGAATATGGAAAGGAGCCCTAAATGTAGAATTACCACCAATGAAGCGTAAATTATCCAGAAAGAAAAATCCTGCTTCGTCGAAATCATAGATTATAACCTGGTTAGAGGGGAGACCTGGAAAGGAACTAGCAGGGACACAAAAAGGTTCAGATTTTGAGAGGTACATGCAGAGATCTCCAATGTCTTGGGTGTAAACCGCGTTTCCTTGTTCGTCAAGCTTGAACACCATTAAAGCTTCGGTTCCCATTTTCGCAACACCATTGACGATCTCAGAGGTTCTCTTGTACCACTTAACCAAGAACATTTCACCACCAGTGGATCGTGATTCCACCAAGTGCTCGCTTGTACAGCAAGAATCCAGAAGCTTCCGTGTGGTCTTTGCAAGATTGGGAAACTTTTTAAATCGCAGCTTCTGAATCTTGGGTGTGTGCATGTGTGTACCGAGATCCCATGATCCAATGAGATGGCCTCCAGATCCGGGAATGCGAAACATGTCATCTTTCTCCGAATACATGACACGGGAGGAGTAGAAACAGGGGTTTGCGATTCTGACGTTGATCCACTCGGGTTTACGTTGAGCCGGTCTGCAAAAGCTGAGCTGAGGTCCTAAGAACTTGACAGCCACGACACAGTCCTCATCCTCGGGAGAAGATGAAGACATTGACACATTGGTGACGATTTGAGTTTGGCAATGGGGCAGAGTTACAAGAGGAGGCAAGGGAATGCGTTTAGGGTTCATATCCGATGCAGCCGGGTTTAAATCATCTTGGAGACGCAATATACCGTCGTCCTTCAAAGTAGCTACCCAACCATGGGATGACCCGATCGTTACCATGGGATCACTGTGCACCAACTCTAGAGGCACCTTCTTTTCCAAGCAAGTGCGTCGAGACATCATCATAACATCGAGTCTCCCGAGATGATCAGCTCCACAAGGTTGAACGCCGACGATTGAACAAGGAGGGGTTTGCATCAGAGAGGATCTTACCAGTACAGGTTTCCTCCGAAAGCATAGTAGCTTCAAGGGCTGGTTGAGAACCAGAGACATGCGTAAGAGATGTTTTTACCGAAATGCAAAAGCTGCAAGAGATTTAGATTAGATTAAGAAATAAATAAACAAACCCTAGTTGAAGAATATTATGCGGTCAGTAGAACCAAAAATTTCTCGATCTGTTCAAAATTTTGATTTGATTACTTGGTTTGCTACAATTTTGGTTTATTGGATAGGGATATAAGGGTATATATACTTGGATCGAAATCTTGTGTTATTACTGATATTAAAACGATTTAACACTGTGAAAGAAATTTTTGTTTTTTTTTTTACCTCAGGTAATCCTAAATGTATTCTAAGCCCAAAAGCTAATCATGGAGTCTCAAGAAACCATATTAAATTGCTCGAATCTCGGTGGTCAATACTACTCGAACCCAGATAGCGGGAATTACTTTTATTTCCTTCTTTTTAATAACGATGTAATTATCTCTATATCTATACTAGTATTTTTGCAACACTTTGGTGACGGGTGGGTAAAAATACTCTCGGGTTATTTGAATATCCGACCCGTTTCAAAAAATCCTTCACAAAAAATATAAAACTATAAATTATGAGGCATTTTATTATGAAAGATTGATAAAATAAAAAAACTGTACAACAACAACAATAAAACAAACTTTACATACCAATAAATAATGTGAAGCCGTAAACAATGTAATAATTTTTTTTTTTTGGTTAAAAACAATGTAATAATTGATAGCAAGAAATTTTACAAGTTCACTGACGCTCAAAAATACATTATGAAGTGAATACTGAAACAAGAATTGAGTTAAATTATACAAGTCAGTAATGCTGCTCACAAAGCTATATTGAAAATGTGTGTTCAGAGGAAGCAAAACTCAATGTGATCGTGAATTTGTGGAATTTATGTGATCATGAAGTTATGGAGCTTATTTTTACATTTTATTGTAATTACTTTTTGCGTGTATTTAAAGATTACTGTCAAACAAATTTTGTGATTAATTTATGTGATCGGATTTGTGGAATTCAAATCATCGAGAATTTTTGAAATTTTCCTGATCGTGAATTCTTGGAATTTACGTGGAGTCGTGGAGTTTATTTTTGCAATTTTAAGATTAATGTTTCTTTTTTTTTTGGTTGTGTTTTACGTTTTCATGCGGTTTAGTGTGTTTTTTGTTCTGTTTCGAGTGTAAGGAACGTTTTTGGCTGTGTGTGTGTTTTTTTTATGAGAGAGAGTTACCGGAACTATGTTACATCATCCAAGAGTCACTTGTTTTTGGCTACACCAAGATTCTTTGCTGCTCGTAAAAGATTAGAACATTTTGTTATGATGTACTTTGAGCATGGCGAAATATATCAAAAAATAATAATAATCACAAGACAAAATTTATACAATCAAATCAGACGAGGTTGCTTCTCATTCATACTTTTAACCTGGACAAAGTAATGCAAAATGTTTCAAACGACAAGTAAATTTCACATCCGTTGAAAACCGTATAAATGTTAAAGACAAATTCATTATTGAATGTCTGTCAGTATAGATTGTGCTCAACTTACAAGAACTTCAAATATCTTAGATCAACCATAATATACTACCGCCCATGATTCCTTCAGAAACTATAACCATATAGTAAGCAAAACCAATTAGGAAATCATCATCAAGGTTAAAAAGCCTTAAACATTATGGAGATAACCACAAAAACAAGTTCCTGGGAATCCGAAGAGGGCTCTTTCTTCAAGTTACAAGAAATAGTAAGCCTTTTGGTTGTGCAAAAGGGTCATATTTCTTGTGTGATAGATCATAACCAGAAATGCTCAATCACACAAGAAAGTAGATGCTTATTCAAAAGTCAGTTATGGTGTGTCCTAATTCGTGGAATGTAGTTTTTTGTTCCTAATGTTCAGTTTTACTGTTTGAGTTAGAGTTTTACTGTGATTGAACGTGAATTTTGTTTCTTTTCTTTTTTTTGAATATGCATGCGTTCGGTTTGGAAGTGTTTTGTGTTATGTTTTCGTGTGATTTTTGTTTTGAGCGTGAATTTGTGTTCAAGAATTTTGCTGTGATTGAGCGTGAATTTGTGTTTTTGCTTTCTTTGGTGATATTTCAATCAAGCTACAATAACTAATGGGGTCGCAGTCAAATGCAAGACTGATTTAATTGGATAAAACTTTTTTTAAAACAAAAACACTCCATAAGTATATAAACTGATAAAAGTATTTACACATTCCGTCGATCGATGAAAATCTCTAGGATTCACTAAAATAAAAAAGGGGTATGAAATTACATTAATTTTTTAAAAAACCTTATTTAACATCTCCAATCTAAACGTACTTCACCAGATCCCACAAAATGCTGACTAGGTTTTTTAAACGAGACCATATGGCTCTTAACCATAAACGCAGTGACTCGCTTCGAAACTCTAATCTCCTCCATCCTTAGCTCCTGTAACCGCCGCACATACTCCGGCACGTGCACTAAGTCCCAAACCACTCCAACTCCGCCGGGTTTCAACACTCTCACCGCTTCTCCAAGTACTCTCATCCTCTCTGCGGCCGCCTCCACCGTCTTCTGACCGTATTCTTTCCCAACGGTATGAAGAAACACGGCTGAAACCACCACGTCAAAGTAGTTATCACTAAACGGAAGCCTTCTTACGTCTCCCTCACGGCATGTCACGTACTCTTGTACTCCTATATACAAATTAGGTTGATCAATTTACTAATTAAACACATCTCAACTAAAAAAAATCAATGAATAATATATGACAAGAAAAAAACAAAACAGATTTACAAAAATCCTACAAAATTCGGTTCTCCCTATAATGACATGTATAAACACTAAGTCGGCAGATTAAAAAAGCTTAACATATACAGTTTTTAATTTGTTAATCCAAATTTTCACTAGATAAATCTGTTGATAATAGCTATATAATATATATATAGCTATTTCTTAAATTTAGAAACCGTTAATCACGCAATATTGTCGCAAATCTACAAAATAATATGTTGGTCAACGAGAAACGACTTTGAAATGTAAGAAAACGAGTCAAAAAGTCAACGAAAACAAAAAAAACTGACGAACCTTCGATGTGAGCAGTACGAAGAGTAGAGAGAGTAGTACTCATCGACCGATCCAACCCAACGACCCGACCCGAACTACCAGTTTTCTTCAGCTGCGTCGCCACCGCATTAAGCAAAATCCCACGACCACATCCTAAATCAAGAGCCGTCTTCACACTCGACCAATCTCCAACAGATCCAACCATCCTCTGCGCCATCTCATACCTAAGCGGCACAGCAGAGTAAAAAAAATTCGCCGCCGCGAAAAACAAACACACGGCGGAAATCGCCGTAACAGCTCCAAAGAATCCAGCCGAGAATCTAGCTGCGGCGGCGTTAGAGAAGAGAAACGATTGAAAGAAGACGCAGATCGGGTTAAAGTAGATGAAAAAGACGGTGGAGAGAACAGAGAAAGCAATCGCGTTGATGATGAGGAAGATGAGTGTATGTTTTTGCTCGATCCCGTAAATCGCGTAGATCTGAGCCCAATCTCTTGTTCCATTCGTTGTCTTCCCCATTAGATGCGAAAATTTCAAAGTTTTTCTCCGAGCAGAGTGAAGAAGAAACAGAGACGGTTACAAATTTTTTGGTTCAAAGATCAAAGAAACATGAGGATAAGAAGAGAGAGACTCTGACAGAATCTAAAACGTTGAGCAATCACAATGAAGCTTTTTATGATTCTCATGTGGAGCTTCTATTTATAACTGTCAAGTAGTGTCATGCATAACATTAGATAATGATATATGTGTGTGTATGTATGTATTTGTTTTTGTATTCAACAGTCAAAACACGAATTTGAATGTGTAACCGTTCCGGATTTAATTGCTTTTTAATTTTTTATATATATAAATTTAGCATTAATGGTATTTTATCTAAATTTAGGTTGTTTGTTTGGTGAGTGACCACTCTTTCATGTTTTCATTTCTCTCTTTTTTTTTCGTATAAAGAAGAAATACAAATTTAAGTTGTTTGTTTGGTGAGTTATCACTTATCACTATTTCATAAGAATTTGAAATCTGAAGTCCCCTAACATTAATTTTCTCTTCTTTTCTTTCCTTTTTGTTGTTTTGTCGTTTTACAAGATTTTTAAACTTGTTTTGTTTCTTAATCACGAGTCATGATGATTAGACTTTTTAAAAAAATATCGTTTAAGATTAAAAAAAAAAACATAGGATTCATAATTTCAAACATTATTTCTCCTTTATTCATTAAACTAGGATCGGACCCGCGGTCCACCGCGGGAGAATATTGGTTTACATACATTGCGTTTAATATTGTGTGTGTTTTTTAGTAGAACGAATCGTGTAGTATACTTATAAATATTCATAATTACGAATTGTAGAGAAAATGTAAAATTGTTTATAAATATACCCATCGTATTAATTATGATTTACAAAATAGAATTTTGTGTTTTAAAATTCTAAAATTAGACGATTCATGGAAATTAAAGCAGTAAAAATAGGTCAAAAACCGCGGGTCGAGCCCACATCATCTCACTATGGGGCAGATTTGGGAAAATATATTAAACCCGCAAATAAGCGGGCCACATGGATTAATTCGCAGTGGGTTATAGGTTTAATCGGTTTTCATCCGCGGGTTGGTGGATCAGCCCGCATATTAGTATTTATTGATAAAATTATAATTTATTCAACATGTGGTAATTTAAACAAACTTTTAATAGTATTTTTATTTATTTATTTATTTTAGTAGTATTTTAAATTTTGGTTACTTTAAAATTATTTAAACAAAATCCATGGATAATCCCGCAAATCCGCATACATTCGCGGGACGGGTTTGTACTTCATATATGCTACTCGCGGGTCGTGCGGACCGACTAACTACAAGTCAAAATATTTTTTGTCTATCGCAAAACGGACTTAACAAGATGAATCAACTCGCTTTAACAGTTCTAATGGGAATATTATTTAGTCATACAACAAAATGAAGTTTGGACATAGTAATAATAGAATATGTATCTTATTTGTTAGATGAGGGATTGAAAGATGAAGTATAATGATTAAAAATTAATTATTATTTTTCATGATTCACAAAATTTAATAAATACTTATCATCTTGTTGAATAATTCTAAAATCATATTCAATAAATCTTTATAAATTGAAAATTAAACTTCTTTGGTAAGCTATAAGTATGAAAATATCATAATTTTGATTTAATCTAATTAAATTAAAATTAGTTACATGGATTTCATATCTATTTAATTTACACGACCAAAATAAAAATATCTATTTAATTTACACGACCAAAATAAAAATATCAATTTAATTTATAAAACAGATGGGTTATTTGTGATAAATTTTCTAGAAATCTTTAGAAGCAAATAAAATATCTTTCAATTAATGATAATTGGCTAAAATGAGCGAAATTAATGACAAAAACGTTTATTGTTATGGAATTAGTCCCAAAAATATATGAACAAATTTATTATACGTAATTAATGTATAATATTGTTCGGAATATGCTTTTATTATTAGTTACCATAAGTACAATCAGATTTTATTTGATTTCCATAAATATTTGATTTTATTTCGATTTTTCATTATTAATTCGAATTTATATTCCAAAAAAAATTCAAAGATCCGATTTCAGAATTTCGGGTCAATTTTCTGATTTTAACCCGACCCATTTTTATTTGTACTTCTCTTTTAATAGTATAGAGATTTACCTATTTTATTCTTACTCGTTAATATTGCCTTTATTCATATTACAAACTTAATTACTATTATTGTTCTGTTACTCCATTATAATTTTATATTTTAATATCCAAATTTCAATAACAAATTTATTTTAATAAGATATAATTTTATATTTTATATTCAAATTTCTATTAACTATTTTTATATCTTAATTCGAATAGACATTTTCTATATCTTAACATTTTTATCCAATAATGGATATTTTAGCTAGGTGCAATACAATAAATCAATAATGGAGAATTTTCACCTACATGGCTACATATCACTATTAAAACCTTGGAATATCACACAAGTTCAATTATGTGATTTAATTTTTATGAACTTTCATGTCTATAATATTCGAACCATTCTCCTTTATTTAGAAAGGGATAAAAAAGAGAGAGTTGAATTTGTGGTGCTAGTGAATGAAGTAGCACATGCTAAGGTCTTTCGTATAGGTCGGAATCTGACTCCGACACTTGATTAGGCACATGGAATTTATTATCATTTTTTTGCTTTTTTAGGAAATTAACTTAAATCATTTGTAAACTATATATGAAAATATCGGTAATAAATCAATTGGAGAAATGTCAAAGTTATATATGAAAATATCGTATAATTATTTAACTATGGTTAGTATAATTCGAATTCTGAATTTAATTATCACGATTTCATTTGAGATGGAGATTACATGCACATGTACTATTAGTTGGATGTTCAAAAATCTGAGAGGACACATGTCACAATTTTATTTATTAGTATCAATTAAACATGTATCTGGTGAGGTACGTTCCAATTTTTCAAAATAATTAAATATATAGATATAGATATATGTATAATATATATATATATATATATATATCTTTATTATCATGGTTTCGTCGGCAGGCAAATTACATGTTAACTGTCGATAAAATCTTAATATATAATTTTAGATGAACACCAATCCGTAGTTGTTTTTACAAATACATTATATTTGTATTTTCTGGGATGTGGCTACTCAGTTTTATATTATACGTTTACTTCAAAAGAGTGAATAAAATTTGGCAGACAAATGTTCATATGAAAAGTTTTACTAATTTTATTGACAAAAGTAAAGAAATGGTTTACTATTTTACAATTATAACATCATAGGTACTGTATATGAGACTCTCTTTGACATAGGTAAACTGTATATGATAATGAGACCAATTGTTACTTTAGCTAATCTTTTATTACATTTTATGTAGCTATATATTATTATTATTCCACAATTTACAAGTTTACAAAAATAAATATGAAATGAAAAAAAAAAAACGAAAAAATTGAATTCATAAGAAAGAGCTAACCATTCATGCATCATTACTGACACTTTGGCCCTCCTCTATTAGTAGTAGAATTGAATTATTAGTAATTATGTACTTACAAAGATGAAGACGCAAAATTGTGACTGATAATGATAAATTCTTCAATAAATGTGTGAGAAAAGCCTATTTGAAGGTTGGAATTTGATAAAATTAAAGAGGGAAATCTTTTAAATACCACCAAATCTAAGAAAATTGTCGGCAGAATCAAACTTTACTTTTAATCTTTAGACTAACTAACTAAGCTATTCTCATTAGTGTGCCAAACATGTCGGCTAAACCGAGTTCAAGGCATATTAATTCGGTCTGATTTAACATTTTCTGATTTAATTCGGTCTAATTTAATAAAATGGTCAGAACCCAATCGGGTCGGCCCAATAAACAAAATTTATTAGCTCAAAAATGGACCATTACCATATCTTTTTTTTTGGAACGAAGTTGGATTTTACCGGTTGGACCTAATTATTTTCCGTAATTTCTAGTTGAATCTTTAAAATTTGAGAGACAATTTGGGTCGTATTTGACGAATCCTTGTTCATCTACCATTGAAAATGGAGTAAGCTTTTTAAGAAATTTTTATCTTTTGTCAGAAAACGACATCCATAATCCGCATTTTGAAGGGGAAAAAATTACAGGACGAAGATTAAAAATGATATCGTTCATTAAGATTATAGAACATAAAGGTTCGTGAAATGCAGCAGCTTTATTACTCTTAGATAGGTAAATAAACTAGATTCTTACTTTTGCCGCTGCTTCCTTGACTATATTTACTTCTCCGCCATTCACATTCAGAGAGACTGGCCCTTGCTCATCATAAACCGGAGTGGCCCTTGTTCCCCCTAAACCGGAAAAAATAAACCGATTAAAAACCGAGTCTATAAATCTTTCAAATTAAAGATATTTTATCTACAAAACCGAACCAAATAGTTTCCAGTCTCCATGTTGGTCTCTACATTTCATAAACTAAAATCAGCAGAACCAAAATCAAACCGGATTCGTCTAATCTATAGATGAACACTAGCTTTATGCAGTAATCTACAAATATGATCATTTGTAGAATCTTGAAGAGGACAATTTGTTTTCTTATTTACCTTTGCTTTGGCTTGATGATGCTGCACCAAACTGAGGATTGTGGATAAACTTTTTCAGAGACTGGAAGATTCCCAACTAGCATAAACAGCACCTATAATTTTTTCATGTAATACTTGACCAGAACATGCGATGATTCCACGGTCAAGACCTTCCAAGTAAACTCCTTTCGAGAAGTCTAAGTTTTTTCCGCCCGCATCAGTCACCACACCACCAGCTTCTTCCACAATAACAACTCCAGCCGCGTGATCCCATATCTTCTCTTTGTAACTCGACTGTGCAAACTTCATGAACACTTCAGCGTCTCCTCGTGCAATCGCAGCATATTTCACCATGCTATACACTCGCATCGGCTGCTTTCTGCAGAGCAAAAACTTTTGGTCAATAAAGAGACTTTTGAATAAGAGAGTGAATAAACAACATTTACCTAACTCCCATGCTATTGGCAAGTCCTGCAGTGAACAAGTGGTTTGAGTTTGCTCTCTCTACTGGCTCACAAACCGTAGCTAAAACCGGATCATCGACTGAGGAAACCTTAAGAAGTGTTGCAGATTCTGGGATTCCTCCAACAATCAACGGTTGCATCCACGCTTGACCACTTCCTCGCTTTGCATACATGACACATCCTTTCGATACTGACCCCGGTACAGATTTCGTCTTCATAGCTTGGTTGCAACCGTTACTTAAGCATTCTTTCTTAACCGGATAATTAGGACATCCTAGTACCCCCAACAGAACTTTACCGTTCTCTATCAAAGCTAAAGCAACAGCATACTGATCCCCGCGAACAAATCCCAATGTTCCATCAACAGGATCAAGCACCCAATGCCTTCCTTTAGGCCCTCCAACGGAGTTACATCGACTAATAGCCTTAAGAATTTCAGTTGATCCCAATGGTTTATCTGGCTTCGGAAGCCCGTATTTCGGAGCTTCAGACAATGCATCATTAATCGCATTCGACACAGCTCCTAAAAGACCTAAAGAATCAGCGTCTGAGAGAGTCTCAGTGTCTTCTTCAGCAACAATTGAAAGGTTTTGATCACCAAAAACTTCAGCTAAAACCCAGCTCACAATTGCTTGAACACCAAAATCTGTTAAGTGAATCAACAAAAGTTTAAAACTTTGGTACACTACTAATACAGAGAATCATTTGAAGTGATGAGAAGTTACAAGATTTTGTAATTTAAGATAAACACATTTTGTTTCATCTCTCAACAAATTACAGAACACAAGTAACTATGATTATTCGATTTTAGCTCAATTCGTGACACCAATAAGCAATTCGTGACACAATCAAATATCAAAAATTCGATTTTTTTTTTTTAATTTAACACAAACAGATCTCAAAATGACAATTATGAAAAAAAAACAGAACACAAACAGAGAAACAGAGAAATCGAACCTGCGACGGTGACAGGGGAATCATCGTCTTTAGACTTAACGTGACCACCATTAGGAAGATGAAGCTTCTCTTGAACTTTAACACAGAGAGAAGAAGCGAGGTGAACCACACGCACCGCCGTGTCAATCTCCGTTTCTAAGGATTCCACCACCATCGCCGGCGAAATCTATAGGAGGAAAGGAAGAGAAAGAGATATCAAAAAGCTTCACGCTTTTCTTTCACATGCTCTCTCTCCACTGCTTCTTCTCCTCTCCTTTGTTTCCACTTTTTTTTTTTTTATATATACAAAATGATAATTATTATTTTAATTTACTTTTTATACTTTTTTTTTTGTGGCTCTGTCGCATTTTATTAGAATAATAATTAAATTCTTTATTCCCGGAATTAAAAAAATAACACACTTTTCTCCTTTATAACAACAACTTACCAACGTTGATTTCAAAAGTATCTAAAATATAAAAATATTTATTTTCTTTGTTGTAAAATTGTAATACTACTACTATTTTTTTTTTTTTTGTAAGAATACATTTTTTTTTCTCCTTACAATTTTTTTTTTTTTGCAACATTATGCTAATTTTTGTATTTAGAAGTGTTATTAGTTTAAGAAATGTGATTCACTACTTGATTGATGATATATTGATATCATACCAAATTAAGCTTATTTATTTCGACGCTTTTCTAATAAAACGATATTGGAAAAGAATCTTTTTGGCATCTTACTATTTTTTTTTTTTTGTTTTTCTTACTATCTTAGCGAGCATTTTTTTGAAGAATCAAGAAATTGAAAACTAAATACTTCCTTTTTAATACAATATGGTATCCGAGACATATTCACGTTTGACAAATAGAAAAAGAAAATGAATAATATTATATTTGGAAGGCAACACAAAACACTTCGTATAATTTAGGAGAAAATCGTAACGTGTGATGGTGGGTGGGTTTGGTACTTTGTAGACTTGTAGTTAGGTGAATAAGGGAACACGTGCGAAAAAAGGTCGAACGAAATAAAAAAGTTGTCTTTATGAAATTTCTCGCATCCTCGTTATTTCATACGTACTGTATACTTTAATTTTTCAAATAATTTGACTTTAGTTTTTCGTATTCGTCTGATATTTTCTCTACAAATCTACCCAACCAACTTATTATAGCAATTGGGGAAAAAATAAACACATGGACGGTTTTTTTTTTTTTTTTTTTCTATTCACTTCACAAATGAAATTATTTAGATGAAGAGGTCAAATGAATAGAGACCGTAAAGAAGGGACTATGCATGGTGGTCGTGCATGTGGACAGAAAGCTCTTGTGTAGCTGTATAATTAATTGAATACTAGGATCGGACCCGCGGTCCACCGCGGGAGAATATTCATAATAACGATTTGTAGAGAAAATGTAAAATTGTTTATAAATATACCTAGGCCTGGGCAAAAAACCCGGACCCGAAAACCCAAACCGAAACCGACCCGAAAAAACCGGTTCGGGGCGGGTACGTGTATTAGCTATTTACCCTATTGGGTCTTGTATTGTCGTACCCGTGGGTATAGGGTAAAACCCGATCCAAACCCGATACCCGAACGGGTACCCGATTACCCGAAATTATATATAAAATTTTAAATATATCTAATATTTGAGTTAAATATATTTATATCCAAATATCCGAGAGTAATTACCAAAAAAGAAATACATTTATATTTAAATACTTAAGACTAAGTATATTTATACATGAGATATTTGTAAGTTTTTCGGATGTTTGGATAAAATTTTGGTTATTCGAGTAAAATTTTGGGTAAAAATTCGGATATTAGGATAAAATTTTGGATAAAAATCGGATATTCGAGTAAAAATTTCGGGTATTTGGGCAAATTTTCGGGTATTAGGGTAAAATTTTGGGTATTTGGGTATAATCGGGTATAATTTACCCAAACCCGACGGGTACCCGATTTTTTCGGGTATTTAGCGGTTCTGAAATTTTAAACCCAAACCGACCCGAACCCGATTGGACCCGAACCGAAACCGAACCGATATTTTAGATTTACCCTATTGGGTCATAAACTTCTCTACCCGAAGGACCCAAAACCGATCGGGTTTTACCCGAAACCGATCGGGTTTTACCCGAACCCGACCCGCGTACCCGATTGCCCAGCCCTAAATATATCCATCGTATTAATTATGATTTACAAAATAGAATTTTGTGTTTTAAAATTCTAAAATTAGACGATTCATGGGAATTAGAGCAGTCAAAATAGATCAAAAACCGTGGGTCGAGCCCAGATCATCTCACTATGAGGCAGATTTGGGAAAATATATTAAACCCGCAAATAAGCGGGCCACATGGATTAATTCGCAGTGGGTCATAGGTTTAATCGGTTTTCATCTGCGGGTTGGCGGATCAGCCCGCATATTAGTATTTATTGATATAATTATAATTTATTCAACATGTGGTAATTTAAACAAACTTTTAATAGTATTTTGATTTATTTATTTATTTTAGTAGTATTTTAAATTTTGGTTACTTTAAAATTATTTAAACAAAATCCATGGACAATTCCGCAAATCCGCATACATTCGCGGGACGGATTTGTATTTCATATATGCTACCCGCGGGTCGTGCGGACCGACTAACTACAAGTCAAAATATTTTTTGTCTATCGCAAAACGGACTTAACGGGACGAATCAACTCGCTTTTACAGTTCTAATGGGAATATTATTTAGTCATACAACAAAATGAAGTTTGGACATAGTAATAATAGAATATGTATCTTATTTGTTAGATGAGAGATTGAAAGATGAAGTATAATGATTAAAAATTAATTATTATTTTTCATGATTCACAAAATTTAATAAATACTTATCATCTTGTTGAATAATTCTAAAATCATATTCACGAAATCTTTATAAATTGAAAATTAAACTTCTTTGGTAAGCTATAGGTATGAAAATATCACAATTTCGATTTAATCTAATTAAATTAAAATTAGTTACATGGATTTCATATCTATTTAATTTACACGACCAAAATAAAAATATCTATTTAATTTACACTACCAAAATTAAATTATCAATTTAATTTATAAAACAGATGGATTATTTGTGATAAATTTTCTAGAAATCTTTAGAAGCAAGTAAAATATCTTTCAATTAATGATAATTGGCTAAAATAAGCGAAATTAATGACAAAAACGTTGATTGTTATGGAATTAGTCCCAAAAATATATGAACAAATTTATTATACGTAATTAATGTATAATATTATTTGGAATATGCTTTTATTATTAGTTACCATAAGTACAATCAGATTTTATTTGATTTTCATAAATATTTGATTTTTTTTCGATTTTTCATTATTAATTCGAATTTATATTTCAAAAAAATTTCAAAGATCCGATTTTAGAATTTCGGGTTAATTTTCTGATTTTAACCCGACCCATTTTCATTTGTACTTCTCTTTTAATAGTATAGAGATAATCTATTTAATTAATAAGCCTTACGCTTAAATTATGTTAATATTAAGCTGCGAACAATAAATAATAGTATAAGCCTGTTAACCGTCCAAGTAATCGTACGGTGGATTCTCGTTGTGGCTTTTTTTTTTTTTTTTTTTTTGGCACACTCTCGTTGTGGCTAGGAAACGAAAAGTTCATTTATTTTTAATTGTGTGACCAAAAAGTAGCTGATTGTGGTAGTTCACCTTTTTGTTCTTTTGATTAGTGCTACAAAAATATTTATTTTTATTATCATTCAAATAGTAGTAAACTTAAAAATCAATATTACAATTCCCTTATGCTATTTTTTTGGGTTAATTTAATCTAAATACCCAAATAAATGAAAAATTAAGAATATATACGTGCTTTTTGTATAATTAGATCTCTCTCATCAACTTGTATAAGTTGGACAAAAATATCCTTCCGCATGTAAGAAATTGTTTAGCGATATAATAAAATAGTTATCGACGAGATAAACATTTCAAATGATTCCGATAATTGCAGTTTTGGATAGTTAATTATTTTGTTAGCATTATATCTATTATTCGTTTAATATGCTAAATAATTTGCTAACACGATAAGGTTACACATAATGTGTTAAATGAATATTTATCGATTTAAAATTAAGAATCAATGTTTTTTTTTTTTTGTGTATCTATCAGTTCAATAAAAAAGGATTAGTCTTTCTCTTACATGATTAACATGATAAGTCATATTATATCGCGATAATTTTACAAGTTACATGGTAAACTACCATTTATCATTTATCGTGTTACAACATTTATTATATGATTATATAAGCTAACTTATGTATTACCCTGTTTATCTATTTTAATAATTTGATCATTTCCGCTAACTTATACATTAGCATATTCATTTATCATGATAATATAATTGTTATGTTTAAAATATGTTAATATTTTATATACGTTGCTAATTAAATTGTTATCCGTACTATAGAATCGAATCCAGAAAAATGTGACAATGGTCTTTGTCGTCGACAATGCTCATTCCTCTATCTGGATCGATTAACCTCATCAAAACTCCAATTGGCAAATTCCTCATTCCATAATTCTGCCAAGGTCTTGAACTTTGTAGCTCAATCGATTCAATCCACTATGAAATTCTTTTGCAGCCATACTTTTTCCGATGCTATTTTAATTATGACCACCGCTTGTAAAATTATTACTGTCGGTAACATCATCACCCATCACCACTGGTAAAATTATAATCGTCATGTGATAAATCATTATGTATTGTGTTAACTTATTTATTATATGGTTGGTATCAACTAACATAAACATTAACATATGTATTTATCATGATAAAGAAGCTGTGATAAAAACTAAAGAAATAATATAAGAGAAGATGAAAAAAACGAAAAAGTGAGAACAATTAATAAGACAAGGGTAAATTGGTCCAAATCAAGTGAACAGAGTGTTTGAAATAGTAGTAGGAGAGAGAACTAATTATGAAGTTTTCTATGTATAGATAATGATAGTATCTTTTTTTGGGTTTTTAATTGGAGCACCGTTCAGATTTATTTCGGTGGTAACAAAGATTCTTCGTGCAATGTTTCGGCGATGCTTTTCTCACCGGATTGGGTGTTCGTCGGCGGCGAAGGTTGATGTCGATATATACTTCCGATGACTCATCAACATGTGTTGCATATGTCACCTGTATTCATGTCAAACATCTTTATGTAGTTGATGTTAATTTGGTGGGCTTTGTCGAACCTCACTTTTATTTCTGCACAATATTTGTGGGCTTTAAAAGCCTTTGTTTCCCCTTTGATAGTTTG